TATTGTTTTATTTATCTACTGATTATATCATATCTCCGCATTTTGATAAAATGTTGTATCTAACAACCTTGTATTTTTATTTATAGGTGTGTTTTTTTTTCACTTATATAACAGGGGTTAAGTGCATTTGCGATGTTTTTTCAGAAAAATATTATATAAGATACATAGATTATGATTTTTATAGCTAAGAACAGAATTATTCTCTTCTTTTTTCCTTATTGTTCTGTTGCTCGAAGTACTTTTTTTTTATTATGCATAACAAAGACTCAAGGTTATGGTGATATTGAGAACTTTCAATGAATATGGTTATGTAAGTATGTCGACTGTAGTACAGCGTCGTGATGCTGTAATCAGTCGAAGGAAAACAAGAGGAAAGAGGAAAGGCAAATAGAACAGAAAAGAATAGAAGACAGCCAAGGCGAGAGAAAAAAAAGCGAATTGAAGAACGAGCAACAAACACTGCTCACGTAATCGGTTGTTTCATAGTTAGATCGAATAAGTCTACAAGAAGAGTATTTCTAGTGCATAAATAAGAAACTTTTCTATACATATACATATTTTAACTTTATTTATTCGAATGTCTTTTTTTTCTCAGTTCTATCAGCTATGTTCTCTGAGCATCATTCTTCGGTATTGAGAAAAACTCGATCACGACGTCGAAGGTCAAAAAGAAATCAACATCAATCAATTAAATCAGATCATCGTACTAGAATAAATTCACCTGCAGTTGATCGTTTCCATGAAATATTAACTGATCTCAAACGCCCTGGATCACGTTTTGCATCGTATACAATCAACGAACTTGAACCTATTTGTCAACAAATTGCAATACAAGAAATGTCATCGTCAACAACAACAATCAACATTGGATCTTGTCCGTTAGTTTGTATATTTTGTCAACATTTTATACACGAACCGATCACACTTTATTGTGGTCATACATTTTGTGATCAATGTATAAACGATGAACAATTATCGTCTACAATAAATTGTCCGCGATGTCCTCATGATATTCAAGGTCAAGTACAATCACCCATAGTACATGCAAGAGAAAAATCTTATAAAAAAAACCTTTTCCTTCACCACTTATTTGATCGTTCAGAAACATTACAAACAATATGTGAGAATATTACTTCATGCCGTAAAGGAAAAAAAGAATATTCAAAAGGAAATTATCAACAAGCAATAAATATTTATTCACAAATACTTGATAAAAGTAAGAAAAAAATTCTTCTTCTTCGGTTTTGTTTTAATTTACTTTATTTACATTTTAAAGATAGTCATGATCATCTCGCGTTATATAATCGTGCTAAAGCCTATGCAGCCATAAAACAATTTAATCATGGCCTTACTGATGCTACACATGTTGTTGCATTGAAACCCCATTGGACAAATGTAAGATCTCATTTCTTCTAATTAAATAATATCAATAAATTTTCTCTTTTTTTTATTCTATTAGGGTTACATTTGTCAAGGTGAAATATTATTTGATATGAACCATTTTACAGCTGCACTTCGATCATCATTAAAAGGACTTGTCATTGATCCAGATAATCAAATGGGAAAACAAATAATGGCACGAGTTAGTATACGAAAAAAAACTACTAAAAAATTTCATTTTTTATTTATTTTTTTTAGCATCTACATGCTGTATTACATAATGATGATAATGATAATGGTGATCGAGAAATTATGACAACAATGAAAAAAGAATTCGAACAAATTAATAAAACTTCATTAGTGAATGAGGCTATCATGGAAACAATGAATTCTAGTAAGAATCAATATCGATTATACAAAAAAGTACTTTAGATGTTCATGACTTAGAGATTATAATTCTTATCTACTATTATTTTTGTAATAAGGCATGTTTATAAAGGGTAAAAAAACTACTTGACATTCCAAGGCTTAAAATCAATAGTTTAAATTATTGTACGTGTCAATGAGTAAACTCTATAGTTATATCTCTGTTTCTCTTTTCATTGAATTTATTCTAACTTAGTTTTCTGATAAAACTATAAAAAGATACTATTACGTGATCTGTTTCATTTAATTACTATCATTTATTCATTGATAGAAATCTCAAAAGATTTACCAAAGTTTCTCATTAATAAATATTATTTCTAGTTAGTCTTTACTTTCTAATATTCTTTTTTACATAAAAACAGTTGAAGATTATGTAAAGGAAATGAATGTTATTATTTTTCAAATATAAAATGACGTTACATGATAAAATTGTAATAACGTAAGAGTGTCTTTCTAATTAAATATAGATATAAATAGAAGTACTTTTATATTTTTGGATCGAAAGGAACAATTTATTATCAGGGGCGTAAGTCAGGTGTCAGAGCAGGGGGGGTACAGCCTTTTTTTTTCTATTTTGATGACCAAAAAAACGAAATTTTTAAAAGTAGGGGGGGCGCAAACCCCCTTTTTCCTATTAGTTTTCGAAAGCAGGGGGGGTATTGCGCCCCACGCGCCCCCCCCCCTATTTACGCCACTGTTTATTATTAATTATCTCATATTTTGAAAAATTACATAATAACACGAATAAGATTCAGTACAGATAAATGTTAAATAATCATGTATTATTAAAAAAGGATTTTTACAGATCATTAACTTAAAAGAAAATACGCTTATGTGTTTATAACGACGGTTTAGTAGAAAAAACTTGTCCGTGAGAAGGATTAAAAAGAAATTCTATTAATATTAAAATCTTTTCTAGTGACAGATACAAATTCATTAACTATGTGCAAATCAATACGTAAGTTTATCTTTTAATTTATATATTTTGACAAAAGTAAACTTTTTTTATAGAATCATCAAATTCTTGTTTTTGTTTACAATTTAATTCGAATAAATTAAGTTCAAGAGATTTTGAATGTTCTATATGTGTTAGGTAAGACAAAATAATTTTTATGAATAAGGATATCATTTTCTTCTATGTAGTCTATTGTGGATACCAATAACAACACCTTGTGGACATGTTTTTTGTCGTGAATGTCTTATTCGTTCTGTTGATAATACTCAAGCACAATGTCCCATATGTAAAAGTTCATTAGAAGATGTAAGATTTATAAATTCTTTTTTTTTCACATATCTTTTTTTTTGTTAGTTTTTTCCTATGTTGATAAGATCATATGTCAATAAAACTGAGATTATTTCAAAGTTAATTGAAACTTATTTTCCAAAGGAATATCATGAACGACAACAATTATATGAACAAGATAATATACAGGGGTAAATTATAATATGAAAATGAAAACTTGTTTCTTGTAATTAAAAATGTTTTTATCTAGTGTTTCAATTCCACCATCATTAATAAATAATACTGAATCAACTATTTTTGAAATACCTATATTTGTATGTGTTTTGATACTACCACATTGTGCATGTCCATTACATGTATATGAACCACGTTATCGTTTAATGATGAGACGAGCAAATGAAACTGAAACACGTACATTTGGAATGTGTCAATCTGATGGAGAAATTGGGTAAGAAGAGATAATCCGATTACTATTTTTTTTCAAACAAAAATTTTTAATAAATTATAGTACATTTGCTGATTATGGTACATTATTACATATTCGTGGTCTTATATATACACCAGATGGTCGTTCTATTGTTGATACAATTGGACAACGTCGTTTTCATGTTATTGAACGTGGAATGAAAGATGGATATCATACAGCTAGAGTTGAACTTATACGAGATCATCAAACTGAAGAACATGAATTTAATGGTTTGTTGAAATTTATTGAATAAAAATAAATAAGCAAAATATTTTATTAGATTTATTTCAATTTAATCGAGATACTTATAATCGTGTTCGTGAATGGTTTGATAATCTTGATTCACATAGAAAAACATTAATTCGTCAACAATTCGAAGAATATCCATCATGTGATGATTTAATACAAGGATTAGGTAATAATTTTTATTGCAAAATAACGAATAGAATAAATCTTTAAACATAAGAAAGTCAAAGTTCTTTTTCTATTGTGATTTATTTCTTTAGTTGATGGTCCTAGTTGGACTTGGATTATGTTGAATGTATTACCTATTGAACCAATTCTTCAATATACTGCACTTGCTTCTCAATCACTGCGTATTCGTTTACAAATGATAAATGATACAATTGATTTTCAACTTAATCAACAACAACAACAACAGCAACAACAACAATCAACAACAATAATTTCATCCAATGATGATGATGATCAATAAACTTAAATCATTTTTTTATAGTCATATGGATAATAGTTAACCCAGTGTTTTATTATTCTGATACGAAAAAGAACAGTACATAGAAACGTTTGTTTGTTTGTTTTTTTATACATTATTTTTGTTATTGAACTAATGTGATGTGTATTTATATATCGATAAAATTTGACTCTATGAAACAAAATAATAAAATTGTTTTAAAAACTTATCGTTATTATTTCAATTAGAAGAAGTAAAATAATTATGAATATACTAAAAATAGTTAAATATGTTCGCCATTCAATAGATAAAAATGATGAAGAATGAATATGATGATGATGAACATGATGAATTTCAGATGCTTTTAGTTGATTATTATTTGTTTGAGTTTCTTTATTGATCGGATCTATCAGTGGATGAGTTGATGATTCAATTGGACTTGTTTTCTCTGATTTGCACTGATAAAATTCGAGATGACTATTATGCATAGCTTGTTTAAGTAATTCAATTCGATGTGCAATGGAAGATGAAATTGTTGATGGTTGAATAGGACGTATTTTTGATTTACTATGTAAACGTCGAAGACGTTGTGATACACATGATGAGCGAATATTTATTCCATTAGTTTTTCGTGAAGCATATGGTAATCCAATATGATTTTCAATTGATGATGATGATGCAGATAATGTTGTAGAAGAATTCGATTTTTTATTATTCAGTTTCATTTGATATTGTTCATTCTAATAGAAAATTTTATTTTGTATGACAGATATATAAATATCATGATATAGTATAACATGTCATTAGGCATTAATAGAAAAGATTCACTAAGAGTAAACATCAGTTATGTCTGGAAGATATAAAATTTTATTATTTATGAATAGATAATAAAGAAGAATATATTATCTTTCGCCTACGAGAAAATTCCTTTCAAAATGACAACCTTCATTTGCAAGCATTTTTATCTCATTTAGCTGAGTATGTTGTTTCCAATAATAAAAAGTTCAAGAAGTTTTTTTTCGCATGAATATCTTTTAAAAACTAAGAGAATCAATTATATGACAAAGCCTAAAATTGTTATCTAACGTTCTAATATACAATCATGTGCATCGTTAGGTCGTATTTATGATATTGATCGTTTACTGTAAAGGTCAATTATTGTCAGATGTATTCTATGATATCCTCTTTAACTATGTATATGGAAATTAGATACTCATTCTTTTTGATGACTTCTTACCAAATTCTGAAAGCCACAACTTGTTAAATCAGAACGATGTTCTTTGATAGATGATGATATAGATGAATTTAATTGTGAAATTTTTCTTTGTTTTATGAATGTCGAACCAGGATGATATTGTTTTTGGTCTATGTATTTTTGTTGATGAATACAATGTTTATGATAGGCAGATAGTTCAAAATGAGGAAGTTTGTCATTTTTCGGTGAGACAGAAAAATATGGTTCACTAAATGGTAATCGTTCAAATGGTTCATTCGCTGTTCGATGATCACTATTATTATTGTTAGGATTTTTAACATGTAATGATGTATTATTATTATTTTCTTTCATTATAGTTTCGGATTGCCAAAAGTCTGACTTAGATGGTAATTGGACATGTTTATCAATTTCAATTGTATTTGTCTGGTCATTATTGAGAAATCTGTTAAATATTCGGTTTAATTTAAATCGAATATTAGTTGTATGTTTGAGAGATTGTTGACTTCTAGATAATGTTTGTTCAGGTGGTAGAGTTGCTAATGCTGAATAATGAACAGCTGGAGCAATAATTACCATATTTAACCACCTTTATTTTTGAAAAAAGAAGGTCAATAAACTCATGAAATCATTGACAATTAATATCAAATGAAAAAAGTTAATCGGAAATGAATAAAACAAACATGATCGATTTTTTTGTAGATAAAATTCGATCTGAAATGAAGTATTGTGCGCGCGCATACAAATTTGACCAAACCTACTATTTTTTTCTATATTTTAAAAATGGATCTACCAAATGCTTACAAAGTTATTTTCTTTGTGATTATATTATAAGATATAGAAATCAGTTTGATTGTTGATAACATGAGATTGAAGTCCGATATGCAAGAAGAAAGATTGTAATCGATATAAATATTTAACTGTGATACTTATCATGTATGATTAGAAAAGAGAAGTTGCCACTTTTTTTATTGAAATTACTCGTGTCTGAACTATTCAAATTTTAAGATAATGAAAAAACTGTTAATTACTGAATGAATTGCATCAGTGTTTTCACTCACAAAATAAACCCAACCATTTTTTGTACTTATAATTATTTTCTTTATTATGTAGTCACGTATGAAAAATATACTCTTTTGTCGATCATTAAAAAAGCAAAAAATGTAAACGCCTGCCATCTAGTGGATGCAACTATAAATTGATTAATAATTTAGCCAATACGATAAAAAATTTTCTTTCCATTCTTGTTATATCTTTCGCTTACAGCGGTTATTGTTTTTTTCTCTTTTCTCTATGTCATATCATTCTGTTTAAACTGATCAAGTTCGAGTCTTATTAATTAAGAATGACATTCTATTTTCTTATTTAAATAACATATAAAATACATAAACAGTATTTATGATTAATAGAGACTACCAGATAAAATACACTTTAAGCTTATTTACTGTTTTTTCGATGATCAATCATATTTATTTATAACTGATTTGAATTTTGGTGCTTCTTCAGATGAACGACACCCTCGTCTGATTGGTGATGTTAATGAAAGAGAAACGAAACGAAAGGGGGCGTACATTTCTAGAAGATCAATAAATTTGTATCAATTGTAGAAGATTCAATTGATTATACTTTGATAAGTTTTGTTATTGTATAATTGATAATATCCTATAAATATCGCATCACTATTCTGCTTCATGTCATTTACAAATGATTTATTCTCCATAACCAGCTTTTGATGATTTATCTATCCGCGAATGGAATAAATTAACTGACGAAACTCCAAAAAATATTGATTTATGTCAACGTATTGGATTATTACATGTTTAACAAAACTTATCAAAGTATAATCAATTGAATCTTCTAGAAATGTGCGCCCCCTTTCGTTTCTTTCCTCTTTCATTAATATCACCAATCAGACGATAGTGTCGTTCATCTGAAGAAGTACCTGAATTTTTTTTTCTAAAGATTTTTTTTATCTGAATGCACGGAGAAAGAGACGGACGAACATTATCATCACCGCCTCCATCCATGCTTACCGATGAGACAAGTAAGAATGATAACAATCCTACAACATCATCATCATCATCAAATAATCCATCGACTGAATTAGCTTATCTTCCAATTGGTTGTTCAGTTAGTGCAAAATATCGTGGAGCATTTTGTTCAGGTAAATTGATTTTTTGTTAATTCTTAAAAATAATATTATATATTCTTTTTTTTCTCTTAGCACAAGTCAAAGCAATCGAAAAACAAGTGAAGTTAAAAGTATCGTTACTTGATTGTGGTGATACAATAACAATATCTGAAGAACAAATTGTTCATTCAGGTTCATTACGTATTGGTAATACAGTAACAATACGTTTAGCATCATCAAATCGTCGTCAATCAAATGATTCAAATCCACCTCATCATTATTCTCGTAGTGGTTTAGCTGCATTTATAAATCCAACAAATCCTGATGAAAAACAAGCAACGATCAAACAAATTATTGACAATAGTATTTATACTGTTGTATTCAATGATGGAGATGAAAAATCTTTAAGACGTTCATCATTATGTTTACAAGGTATTCGTCTCTATCAAACACAATATGGACAACAAAAAATCTTAGAAGAAATTCCAACAACAACACCAGCAACATCAATATCACCACCACCTTCAGTTACACCAGCGACTGATACAACAAATAATAATAATGCGAATGATATATCATCAATTGTTGCTATTAAACGACAAGGAAATAATGATCAACCAGTTTTCCCAGCATTAGTACTTAAACGTAAAGCATTAGCTGATTATATGTGGGTTAGAAGTTTTGTTGATGGAAGAGAATATATTGTTCATACACGTGATGATGTACAAACCTATCAAAATAATCCAGATATTCAAGCTTCATGTCGTTCAACATCAAAACAAGCCACACAAGCTTGTGAAAAATTTATTAAATATAATCAAATACCAGCTGTATGGCAAAAAAAGAAAAAGAAACAATTTAAATCAGATAATAATGATGATGAAAATACAAGTGAAAGCGGTTCAAGTTCATCTGAATCAGATGAAGATGATGATATCGATGAAGAAACAACTGAAGAAAAAGATTCATTTGTGGCACAATTATTTGCTTTTATGGATGATAGAGGTATAATTAACAATTTTAATTATAAAAGAGTCTTATTGTTTATTTGAACAAGTTTCAATTCAGTCCAAAACTATCTTTTACATCTATTTAAATTTAATATAATATCTGATTTCAATAATTTTAGGTACACCAATAAATAATATTCCTAAAGTTCAAAATTATGATCTTGATCTCCATCGTTTATTTAAGATTGTTCGTATGTTAGGTGGTTTTAATAAGGTTTGTATATATTTATTTATTAGAAATCATTTTAAAAAAAGTAATCTTCGATTTAGGTAACAAAAAATGATCAATGGGATACTGTTCATATAAAAATGGGTTTACCCGATGAAACTTCATCTACAAATGGTCGATCAATAGAACATGCATATAAAAAGTAAATAGGAATAAAATTTTGTCAATAGGAGAAACTAGAATTGATTAAATATATTTTTTTAGATATTTATTTGCTTATGAAGATTTATCAAAAAAATTAGGTTCAATGAATGCACCAAGTGCTTATTTTGGTGGTCGAACAAGTATGAGTAGTGATTCACGACGAAGTTTAATACGTGTACGACAACAACAACATGAAGAAGAAAAAAATCAAAAGAAAATCAATAAATCGAAACAATCACCAGCAGCAGTTAAACAACGACCTCGTAAAAGTAATGAATCTCGAGCATCTGTTGATTCTAAAGCAACTTCTGCATCTTCTACTGCTACGAAAAAACCAATACCAAAACCTTCTACTATAACTAAAGGAAGAGGACCTAATAAAGCTAAACCATCAAATGTTCTTTCATCGAGTACATCGGATTCTGAAAGTGAATCAGAAAGTGAAACATCAGATGATGAATCAAGTCGTTCTTCATCGTCACATTATCATAAAACGAAAACCAAACCTCCACCAGCAACAACATCAAAAAAGTCAACTGTAACTGCATCAGCAATACCTAAAAAGATTAATCCATCTGTATCATCATCATCATCATCAACAACACCGACAACTAAAACTGATGTTAAAAAAATCTCAACAAATACAAAACCAATATCAGCAGCAGCAGCAGCAGCAAATGATAGTAAACAATCAAAATTAACTATAACAATACCGATTGCTAAACCTAAAAGTCAGTCAACAAGTTCAAATAGTGTTCAATCCGTTAAAAAAGCTAATCTTACATCAACAATTAAAGATGAAAAGAAAAAACCTATTGATACAAAAACACATCCAATTAAAACTGAGCCAAAACCAATTCCATCATCAGTTACTAAAAAACCTTTAATTCCATCTTCAAAAACTTCTCAAATACCTAAAGCAACTCAACAACAAAAACCATCCACAACGGAATCTACCAAATCAACAACAACAACAACACCAGCAAGTAATAAAACACCATCATCTCTATTACCATTTAAACCGAAAACAACTCAATCACAAACATCAGCAAATAATAATAAAGAAAAAGCAGCAGTTTCAAAACCGGCATCATCATCATCATCATCAACGACAACAACAGCTGATTCTCGGCCAGTTAAAACAACTAAGATAAATTCTGCAACATCAAAAAATGTTTTACAAGAACGATCAGTTTCAGTACCCGTTAAGAAAGCGAAACCAATTCTCCATGAAGAAGTTTCGACGAAACCTGTTACAACTCCATCAACAATGAAAATTCCAAAAATATCTGCAAATAATGATTCTACGTAAATAAATATTAAAACAATATTTTTATAGAATAATAATCTTATCTTTTTTATTTGAAATCTATTTAGTAAAACATCAACACCATCAATTGATAAAATTCCTAAAAAACAAATAACAAAAGAATCTACAGTTAAAACACCTAAAATACAAGAAAATACATCAACAAATAAACGTATGTTAAATAATTTATATTTATAAAGTCATTTTTTTCTTCTTAAATATTTATTTAGCAAATACGGAATCACAAGCAAAACCTCATACACCATCTCCAACTCGTTCAACATTTTCTGAACCAATTAAAAAGACTATTTCTCGTGACATATCTCCGTTACCGGTAATACCAGCATCACCTTCACCACCACCACCACCGCCGCCGCCGCCACCACCACCACCAACATCAGTACCATCCGTACCTTCTATTACTGATGAACCAATAATACCAATAAGTTTACCATTGCCACTTAACAATACACAAAGTTTGAGTTATCCATATGAAACAACACCAGGTAAAATTTCAACAATAATAATATTTTTAATAAATCATTTATTTTCATATTATGTAGAAGTAAAACTACTGGAAACAGCACCTTTAATATTTCAATCTTCGTCAATAGATCTTAAAGAATCAAATGACAATGAAACTATTCCATCAACGTCTAATAAACGTTCACATTCAGATGATAATTCTGATTCAGTTTTTATTCCAGCATCGATATCTGGAATTGATGATCAATTATCTCCATCAAAACGAGCTAGACGTTCAATATCATCTCAAGAAAGTATTGAGACATTTAGGTAATCCATTTTTCTCTTACATTCGAACAAAACAAACTAATACAATTTATTCTTATATTTTCTAGTAGTAATGATCAACCACCAGCAATAGATAATATATCTGCTAATCGTAATACTCAATTAACATATGAAGATATCTTAATAAATGATATATTACTTGTAACATGGGGAAATCATGGAACAAAACAATATCCAGCACGATGTATTGAAAAGAAAGATGAAAAAAAA